GCCTCAGTGAGGACCGACGCCGCTACGTATCTTCAATAATGTAAACCAGTTTGGTTCCAAAAGATGGAGTCGACTTACTTCACAGCTCTGCCGAGTCTTCGACATGGTAGCGTTGGTGTATTCAGCACAACCCTCGCCCATCGTACCGAGTCCATAAGCCCGGATGGGTCTATACCCGCCTCTCGGCAAATCGCGCTCCATAGAATATCCTTGTTGTTATTGACATACCCGGCATCGTCCAACGTCTTCAATCGGAGAGCGAACATCTCCCTGCTGAACCCAATGGCACCGTCAGAGAAGTACTGATAGGCTTCCTCAGGAGTACTGAAACTACGCTTGAGAACATCGATGAATTCATCAAGGCAGTGTCGGCTTTCGTGAGCCATCGGGAGGACGTCAATAAGAGGCGACCTTCTACGGGTAACAGCAGCAGATACGGGCCGAGCCTTTCGATGTGCATTGGAGGCCCGTCCCTGCTTCACCACTACCTGATCGTCGTAGCGATCGACTAACCGCCTACCATAAAAGGAATCTCCACACATAGGAACAGGAGATAGCGGGCTCACCCTAGGGTTTCCTTGTTCGACCGGAGCAGCTCCTCTATAGGCGATACTGACTGCCCCCCAGTACCCTCCTTTCGATTCTGATACACCATAAGAGCTCCCAGCGCCTCATAGGAGGCCTGCATGGACTTCACCAGAGCAGAGATAGTGAACTGAGACCAGCCGGCACCTCTAGTTGATGCAATACCCAAGCATCGCTACCTCCATCTCGCTTTGCTTAGCTTCCTGTTGGCTCAGTCGAGCGTCAAGGTCGGTCTTGATGGTCTCCTGGGCTTCCATACCACTCTCCAGTGAGGCGACCAATTCCTGAAGCCCAACTGAGCACCCAAGTGATAGTCGCCATTGACAGTGTACATTCCTCGTTCCTTCACAGAGATGGTCAGTCACTAGAGCGGTCACTCGGATGAGTTCTTCGTCAGAGCTATCGGCAGTCAGCCCATCTGCCCCCTCACAAGACTGGGGCTTCATCAACCCTAACACCCCAACTCTCTATCTATGGAATGAGATATCGGACCTTCTAGTTTCCGTGCGACCTTCCTGGTTTCCTCCACTCCTTGTTCATCGCCCTTCACTCCACACAACCCTTCCCGAGGGCCCTAGAGAGCAACGACGATGACGTTG